AAAACTTTTCTGAGAATCTTCAATCTTCAATCTTCAGTGTCCAGAATTTACAATAAATTCCTAAATTCCATTCAAATTCTATAAACAACATTATCTTCATGTACATATCAAATGGTTCCACGGTGGGTTTTGGGGGGGGGGTACCATATTTATATATAGATGTACAGGTATATGCCTTTACATAGTTATATCTATATATGTAAACATATTAGATTATCTATACATATAATTCTCTCTATCTCTCCTCATCAGACTCCAGGAAGTCGCTCAGCTGCAGCGCCATGATCCATCAAAGGAAGCAGAGGGCTGTCCAAAAGCGCTTGAAGCTTGTGGCTTTGGTTCCCTGCACGCTTCGTATGTTGAAGCCCCAAAATTCGGAGTACCCTCACTTTTTGGGGGGCCCCCATGGTGAGGAGCATAATATACGGGGGACTATATTGGGTCCCCGTATTTAGCGAAACCACCATGGCTTTTTTCCTTCAACATACCCTGCATGTACTAGCTAAGGGCGCAGCTTCATGCAATGGTCTCGTGGGTGGTATAGAAGAGATCGGCAACTGGTCAAGAGCAATGCAGCTCTTTACCAGCCTGGCATGTAGCCAGGGATACTTGAGGGTATAAGGTTTAGGGTTTAGGGTATAAGGTTTAGGGTTTAGGGTATAAGGTTTAGGGTTTAGGGTAACTCCATGGGTCGGTAAGTCACAGCCGGATGGGCCATACCTTGTTTCAGGCCCCGAATTTCTCAGCACATCTGATGGACAATATTCCTTCACTCGTGTCAAGGCTTTTGGTGTGACAAAACGTCGCCATGCAGACTCATATGGCCTTTCTAATTTGACCTCGATGCTGTACAAAAGCTTTGACTGTCATGATTGGTGCTAGGCCTCATGCGTCACGTTCAAGATAAGGCACAACTTCTGCTGCCATCGCGTGTAATAGCAAACCCTGGAACCCTGTTTCGAAACACGCGGTGATGTGAAGTGAGTCTTTTGATCTCCAGGCTCCTGCAAGTTTGCTGTCGGCACACCCACGATAAAGTCCACAACGTTGGTAGCACTTTGAGATAACACCTGCATATTCCCATAATTTCCAGGCCGTTTTCCATTTTTCCATTTGTTTCTCCATAATTGGAGTAATGTCCCTAAACCCTAAACCCTAAAAACCTAAACCCTAAACCCTTGTGGATCTCCAGAATGCAATACATCTCAACATGTCGCTCACTCCACCTTCTCGACTGCAAAGGGACCACCAGCATGATTCGACTTGGGAAGACTCATGACTTCGTTGGGCCGGTTGGGGCCATTCCTTGCTATCCTCATACAACCCTATATAATTCTATAAAAACCTTATACAACCCCTAATAACCCTATATAATTCTATATGACCCTATAAAACCCTATATAACCCTATATAATTCTATATAACCCTATAATAACCCTTTGTAACCCCTAGTCCTTCGCAGGGACACGCTGGACTTCTCGTTGACGATGTAACGGGCATTCTTTAGGTGGACCCCCCACCCAGTAACAGTGACTATAGGGGATAATAGGGATTATATTAGGGTCCTCTTATATTCCTATTATACCACTATTACAGGGTGGGGGGTCCTCCTAATCCACACTGCTGTAGGGGTACATCAGAAGTTTAG